GAATAATATATTGCCAATCACCTCTTGGCTGGGTAGGTTTCCGTTGATGAGACTGTTCGAATGCGCCCAGTCCGGCCCACACATTGCGGACAGCCGCTTCCACATTGTCAGTAGCATGGAGTTTCGCTCGTTCAGCTGCTCTCTGAACTGCTGTTCGAGCGCGGTAAATCGCTTGCGGTCCTGGCTCCGGGCGTTTTCCAACTCCGTAATGCGTGAATTGTTCTGAGTGATAGTGCGAGATGCCTGGTGATGAGATTTGAGGGCCTGTTCAAACGACTGCTTGTCTGCCCGACGGGCCTGTCGTTCACGTTCGAGGAGCTCAGCCAGCTTGCGAGACTCGAGTCCGTGACTTTCAAGAAGAGCATCGCGGTTCCGCAAGAGAGACTCCTTCTCGTCGAGTTTTGACCGGACGCTCTCAAGCTCCAAGGCTGTCGACTCAAGTTCCTTTTGTAACTTCATGATGTTAGAAATCAGGCTGGAACGGCTGCCAGTGAGATCGCCCAGTGTTTCCCTCAGGTTATTCTCCAAGTCCATGAGTCGCTCTCTCCAGGTGGCCGTTTCGATCTCTTGCGCAGACAGGCTCTTCTTCAGCCTGCGGGCCTCCTCCCTGGCTGCAGAAGCCTCCCGGTTAAGTTCGTTGATGATGCGTTGAACCTCCTGTTTCTCCTTGGTTCCTACGACTTCGCGTTGATGTCGTTCTTCGGCCATGCGAGCTTCCAGCTCCTTTACCTTGTCCCTTTCGCTCTGCAGGCTCATCTGGCATGTCTTAAGTTCAGACTCCAGGTCCCCAATCCTAATCTTATCACCATCTTGCTCTTCTCGCAGGAACGCAATCTCGTTCTGGCTCGATTCGATTTGGACAGTAAGTCGCTGCACCTTCGTATTCGCTTCATAAAGACTCTTCTCCAATGCCTCCATCTCTCGGTTACAGTCCTGGAGCTCTCTTTGAACTGTTTCATATCGCTGCAGGTTTGTTTGCGCGTCTTCCTCGAGCCGTATGATACCTTCACTGGCGGAGCGCATCTCAGCTTGCAATGCCCGGAGGTTCTCGTCCTGATTCCGGAGCTCCTCCTCCAGACGCTCACATTCATCTGTCTTCCGTCTGAGATCCTCCTCGAGGCCTTCTATATCTTCATTATACTGGGCGTCCATAATTTGCATGTTGACGATGCAGTCATTCATTTTTCGTTCAGCTTCGTCACGTTCTTGGTGTAACGCGTTGAACATCTCATCAGCCCCGTCTACGTCTGCCTGATATTGCTTGTCGAGGGCATCGTATTCCGCGATGCGTTCTTCTAACTCGGCCCTGATAGTTTGGTTCTCCAGTTTCAGCGCGGATACTTGATCACGCAGTTGGCCAATCCGCAGTTCCAGGTCCTCGCGTTCTGCATCGTCGCTTCGAGATGGTCCTGTCCCGTCACTGGCCCGCGAAGAGGATCTCCCCTGGGCCCGAGAAGCAGAGCGATCGAAGATGCTATCTCCAGCGATAGATCGAACACCGTCGCGACGCTGACCAAGTTTCAGCTCCTCGATCTCTTGGTACAGGCGCTCTTTCTCCTTGTTACGAGATGTGAGCATGGACGTCTGGGCGCTAACTTCTCTCCTCAGTTCCGCATTCTCCTGTCTGAGGAGTCGTAGCTCTTCCACGAGTGTATCGCTGGACGAACTAGCAAGGGTCGGCATGCGGGGTACATCTCTGTCAGAGGCTGTCGTATACGAGATCATGGATCCCACGCGGTCTCGCTGCCCTGCTCTCGGAAGGGCGATCACGTAGTTCAATTCGTTCCGAAGCGCCTGTACTTCATCCTTAATTCGCTTGTTTTCCTCCTCCGCCTGTTCCCGCGCGGCAGTTTCTGCGTCAAGCATATCCTTCCACATATCCTGCAGCATCGATATGTCAGTACCAAGCAACGGGGTGTACGCTACAGGACATTGACTTTATTACCCTTTCTTCCCTTGCCCCAGCCTCTGAACCGATCGGCCTGTCACTCAATGCTTTGACCATCTGGGCGAGTCTCCTTTTTTCGCTTTCCCGAGCCATACTCTCCGACCGGAGCCTCTCGATTTCAAGTTCGTAAGCCTCCTGTCTCTCCCGCAGATACAGAATCTCTTCGTCCTGTGCGGCATCCCGGGAATCCTCGTCGGAGCCGTCGGGATCGTGGTTAGCCATGGACTCTTTGTCCGATTGTTGGTCCTTGAGCTGCTTTTCCAAGTCGCGGATCTTCCTTTTCAAATTCTGATTGTCTTTCTGCAACTTGAGCTTGTCCGACTTCAGCTCGACATTCTCAGAGATCATCTCCTTGATCCCTTCCTCCGAACGCCTGTTCAGTGCTTCGTTGAGGAAGTGGATGCGCATCTTCAAATCAAAGTTCTCCTTCGACAGACGGTCAATCGTGCTGCTTTGCTCTTTGAGCGTCATGGTTCGACCGCTCCTCGCGAAACCCGGAGTTGGGAGACCAGCACGCTTCTCAGGGGACGATGAACGGCCAGCAAAGTCTTCCCGAAACTGTCTGACAAATGCGCTTGGTACTTGCACGTCCTTGACACGTTCTGCAATGGCGGTGTCGGTTGGAAAAATGTTGTCTCGAGGCCTCGCCTTTGGTGTCATTGGCCCTTGATCATCCCCTAACGCGGGCGATTGGTGTTCCTGGTGAGACTGCGGCTGCGACTGCTGCTGAGATGAGCCGGGCCGCGACTGTGATGTGCCTTCTTCCTCAGTCAGCGTCTGCAGGCCACCCTCGGCAACTGCGGAGGGATTCCTCCTCTCCATGACATTCTCGTCACTCAGGCCAGAAATGCCGGAAGCCATGCTACCTAAGCTAATAGATCTCGTTAGGTTGTTGCGTTGGTCACCTTGAGCAGGATGAGAGTTGCCTGGGGCCGCGCCACCGGACTGAAGGGCGTAGTCCGCGCCCAGCGTCGCATCGCTATTGGTAGTCTCGGTGTTGTTACTGGCGACGGACGAATATGAGAGGCGATGCGATGACTGGCGACTGGTCAAGTATCGTGGCCTGCTGCCCCTTCGACTGCTTGTGCGGGAGGCTGCTTCTGCATCCTGGCCACTCTCGTTCTGAAAAAGTCTCGGCCGTTCCAACGATGAGCTCCGAAAACTTGTCTGTATACTTAGATTAGCCGCCTGCATGGAGCGATTCAGATCTGATGTCGTAGAGCGGTCAGCCTCTTCTTGGCCAACCCTGTTGATTGATTGCGAACCCTCCGAGAAAGTAGATTGTATTCTGGTCGACGATCGCGCCGCTGCTTCCGCTGCAGGCGATGAAGGTATCGCCTCCATGGCCGTATCCTCTCCATGTTGTTGCGACACGGTAGTGGGCGTAGCATCCAGGCCCATGGTAGAGTCGTCGTGAGGACCCAAACTCGGCGTCTGCGGAACCGGCACCCCCTCGCCAGTGGATGTCAAGTCGTGGCTCGTATTGTCCGCTGTCATGAAGGAGGACTGGTTGGTCTCCGATGCGGCCGGCTCATGCGTATTTGCACTGGGATCTTCGATCAAAAGAGTATCGCCGATACCCGCGGCCCTGTTCGGAGTAGCGACCTCGATTGTCGAAGGTTCGGGTAAGAAACTCGACTCCATGTCCATCAATTTCCTCCGCATCTCTTTCTCTTCCAAGAAGGTCTGGTTCTCAGCGCGCTCATGGTCCCCGTCATCGCTGGAAAGGAACAAACTACTGTCATCGTGATCGGGCAAGGGAGGGAGGTGAGATATATTCGAATCGTCCTGGTCCGAAGGATCGATCGTGGAGGTGGGATCGTCGTCTCGGCCTAAATCGAGTGTGGTCTCATCTTGCGTATGGTAAATATCGCTTTCTGTATCGTGAGCTTCGTCCATTGTTGTATTGCTGCCGAGGGGAGGGTCTCCCCGTGTGGTGTCCTGCACCATCAAATCAAAAGGGTTGCAGAATTCCTCCACCGACGCGAACACCTCGTCGTCTGTATCAAAGGCGCCAGGTATTGAGACGCACGACGGAAGGAGATCTGATTGCGCGCAGTGAGTGATTTGGAAGATCGGAGACGGAGAGGATGGCGGCGAAAGGTCGGAATTGGTCGACATGGTGACAGTCGTATTATTATTATTGTTATTATTATTATTATGATTTAGTCCAACTAGTCTAGTCGGTTTTAGACTGACGTTGGCGGCTTGGATCCAGCGTCTGGGCACACAGCGACACAAGTCTATTCCCTGCTCCACATTCACCTGAAGAAATCAGTTGGATTCGATCGAAGCTAGACAGGTAGATAGATATTTTGATTCATGAATTCAAGCCTCATGGCCAGTTTATGGCGTCGGGGCTTTGCTTAGCTTACCTCGTCGGTGGGATGAATTCTTCGACAACACCAGCAAAACAATGGATTGTTACCTCTCTGTTGGGCACAAAATCATGTTCTTGACAGCTGCACTGGATCCATGCAATGGCTCTGATACTTATAGGTGGCAGCAATGGGTGAAAGAAGATGAGAATGAGGTTGTTAAGAAGCAAGGGATCGGAGGAGGAGAATGATGTGTATGATGGTTTCCTTTCCCTCCTGACGTGGTAAACTGGTGCTTGTTGTTTACTGCCAGTTGGAGTGTGACCAGTCAGACAATGTCACGCCATTTGGTTTCAGAGGCTCATTATTCTTATTTGTTCTTGTTATTGACAGTCCAATTCCAAAATGATGGTTACCGAGCTCCGGGAGAAGTTTGTAGATTAAAAATCTAGATATTTTACATCAAGAATACAACTCATACCGACCCTCAAGACAAGGAAAAATATGGAAAAAAACAAGCAGACACTATCGTGATATCCATAACATCGGGCTCATCATTCTCGCAGAGAACGAAACAAAAAGAAACGAAGACAAGTGTCGTGGCATGGAGGCATATCTGCAGAACATGACGCCCGATTCCAGGCAAAGTAGGCGTGGATGGAAGATCGACAGAAGGCCGAGGGCGCGGAAACATGACGTGAACGGGTTTAACGTCTCAGGGACGGATGTCCTGATCACGAAGGGGTGTCTTCTTCGCGAGTTGCATAGATCTTGTTTTTAGCATCTATTGCGGCTTGGAGCGAATCAATATACGTCCGGAACTTCACAATTTCCCGTAGCAAATACGAGGATTTGCGTTCCCAATTGGCCATCGCCTTGGCTGCGTTGGGATGGCGAGGGGAGAATGCAAGAATCATGGCGGGTCGAAGCTCGTTGTGACGCGACAAGTCGTCCTCCACGTTCTTGACATACGTTTGTAAAGCCTTCAGCTGCTCGGCCTCGAGCAGTGCTGAGGCCGCCATACTCTGCTGAGGTGGCGCCCAATCACTGATATGTACTCGATCCGCCGGCAGCTTAGGTCGGATGCCCTGCTGGTCAATAGAGCTGCGGATGGAGCTCTGAATGCTAGCTCGAGGCCCGGATGAAGGTGGCGTCCTGTTGTTGTCGGCGTGCACCAGAGCGCTGTTGATCACGGCATCGCTCCATCCGTACTCAATGTTACTGATTCCTCCGACCAAAGGCTCCTTAGACAATCTCGCGCTCCAGTAGTTGGCGGACGAGACGAATTCCCGGACAATCTCCGGTGTGCCCGCCTGAAACAGGTGAACGGCGCCAGTCGGCAAACTCAGTGCCCAGACGTGTGGACGTGACTTGGAATAGCCTGGGGGCGGAAGTGCACTGGCAATCGTGTGCCGCAGGAGAAATTTCCAAATCTCCTGGGCATTTTCGGTCCAGTTTCCACCTCCCACCACGACCCCTCCATGAGGACGCTGTTTGGGTTTCTGCCGCAGCGTCCTCGCCGTGTTGCTGAATGAGAACAGACGCATCCAGCCTTGCTGAATCACAGCGAAGCATTCATTCCAATTACGATCCCTGGCCCTCTTATCGACCGAATCCAAGTGTTGCTTGTGCTTGAGGCTACCTTCTTTGGCCCATGGAGCCCCGGCCAGTTGTAGAGTCTCATCCTCCAGGAGATGAGCCGTCCCTTCCTCTTCCACACTCGTTATGGAGTGCGCAGAATCCTCACGGATGATCGCCTGGCTGAGTGCGTTCGCGAAACCAATCGACTGTTGATAATCCCCGCGCGGATAATCCGAGCCGAAAGAATCGACAGACGCAGAAGTCAATTTACCGAGAGAGTATTTACTCCACGTACTAGAGGCAGACGGGCTCCAGAGAGACGACTGGTCGTCCAAGCTGGTTCGGCTGGACCCCATCGTGGACGGAGGATACCATCTGGCCCGCGAGCGCGCTTTGGAGGACCATCGCGCTATTCCGTAGCGAGAATCAGCCGAGCGACCGCGAGGGAAGATGTCAGAGCCGCTCTTGCTGATTGTGCTTGGACTTCTCCGCAGACCATGATGGTTGGCGCCAGGGCCGAGTAGATTGTTTGACTGGGGTTGCGGACCATCCCTATCAGTTGCAGCGCCATGGAGCGGAAGCTTTTGCTTCTGAATCGAGGAGTAGAAGTCTCTCAGCACAGTCTCCACCTGTTGCTCCCATAGCCTCATCGATCCATTGAATGGCGCATTAACCAACGGACCGACGTCGCTTTCAGGATCACCCGACAATTTGATCGAGAGATCGGTTCGAGACAACCGATTAACAAGCTTGTGGGGAGGGTGACTCGGCCGGTCTGTATCGGTATTGGACGCCTCAGGATTGTTGGTCGGGTTCGGCTGCGACGTGGCGGGTAACGAAGCCGACTCTTGTGTTGGCAGTCTCGATCGATTAGCGGGCCGAGTGGTTTCGAATCCGTCCGGAGCTGCTTCAACAGCAACCCGACGTATTGTCGGCATCGTGTTCCGAACGAACTGATTCTTCGTCATCTTCTGCTCAATATCCGCCAGATGAAGGTCTGTGTTCAACAGTAGTAAAGAATAGCAGATAGTATGGACAACGTCTAGACTATGTTAGATCTGGGATATACTCTGTAACGGAAGGTGAAAGAAAGTGAACGCACCGGCAGCTTTGAAGCCATGTCGTGGGTTACACTGGCACCACCTAGTTGAGAAAGCATCCAGCACTCGATCTACCTGCTGCGTCTCGCCCTTGAGCACTAAGCGAGTACAAAGGCTTCGTAGTGCTGCAAGAATGTTCATGTTGGACCAGTCAAAGAGGTCCATGTATGCCTCTCTGATAGAAGCACGGCCAGGATCCCCAAGCCAGGCAGCAGCCGGCTCATTGCCTACCACTTGGTCTTGACTATCGAACAGTCGCCTTGCTTGATCCCGATCAGAACTCGAGGGGCCGCCTGGCAAGGCGTCGTCAGAGCATTCAGCGGTGTCCTCGATGATCTGTGGAGGCTTAGGATCTTCCGACGGCACCGCAGGGGTGTTGGCGGCTGTAAAGAATTCTTCCGAGTTTGCAGGCGAGACTTGAGGCGAAGCATCCGCCTTCGCGGCGGGGATGGATAGCTTGCTGGGCTGGGCCTGCTGGTCTCCACAGGAGTTGGATCTTTGGCGACGGCCTGCAGTTCTCTCGGCGGTTTCCATAATTGAATACTCTGAATCTTCCAGAGGTGACACACTTGCTGGAGATATACTCTCGACTACCGGAGACAGAGCCGGGGCGGATTTCGTCGTCGTTGGGATCATGATATGGGAGGTGCCGTCAGTCAACTGACCGACGTTCTCGCCCTCGGAAGGATTGAGGCCATCCTCGACCGCCATTTTCTCCTGCTTTCGATCAACAGTGGTTGAATCCATTTCAGTGGTCCTGGCTGTGGACTCTTCATCTCCGCTGCCGTTCATCAGGAATGATGTATCGTGGCCACTGCCTGCGGTTGGAGGCGGATATAGGCTGTATTTTGATGTCTGACCGCCCTTGGCGGGAGCTGTAGAAACATTTTCTTTCTCGTTCCTTGCTGAGGTAAGGCTTGTATTCATATTTCCTGCATGATCTGCACCTGCGACCCGAATCGGGCCACTATTGGACTTATCACATGCGCCGCCAATGCCATCAGCAAGGTACGGATTCATCACCTTTCTGAGACTACTGACAGGACTGGGCTCGGGTTTCAAAATCTCCACAGCCTTGGGGCCTAGTTCCTGAGGAAGAATAATGGGAGGTGGTAGGCTGTCGGTCATAGATATCGACTTCTTTCGCCGACGGAAAAAAGAAGACTTCTTGTTCACCACATGTGGTTGGCCTTCGCGGAGGGCATTTGCGCCAGACACATTGTTTCTTAATGGCTGTCTGCGGCTCCTGAGACTTCCGCCAGCTGCATTTGTCTCCTTGGTGTCATTCTCTTGGGGTAATATGCTGTCAGATTGGATGCTTTCCGACGGTCCTGAAGCGGTGTTTTTCGATGATCCGAACACGCGCCGGAAAAATCCCTGGCGCTCCTTGGCAGGTGTTGTGTCTGGCGAGGCCAGTATAGCAGGTTTATTGAACGAGATCGTCGGACTTGGAGCGGGCGGGTCGAGCGATGCTGATATTGCTGGGGGCGGATCCAGCCCGTCATCGGCCAGTTTGGCAAGCTCGTTGTCTCCGCCTCGCATGATGGAGCTGGTACCAATGTTCTCCGGCCGGGTTTTCCTGGCATGGTTGGTTCGGGACGATTTGATGCTATTCCGCCGGGAGGCGACCGGTGTCCGCGAAGACTGACTGTTCAAGACACCGGCATAATCATTTTGAGCGGATGAGTGTAACTTCCGGGGGCCAGCCGGCACGCTGGGTGTTGGAGCGGCGTCTGTATTGTCGTAGAACGTGGAATCGTGATCGACGGGAATGAAAGGCGGCCTAGTACCGTAATCGAAGCTGGCCGAACGTCGCTCACCGGACGAGTCCGCTCTCCCTCTGATGAGAGCTGGACCGAAGTCGAGATTGGAAGATGAGCTTGCTTTGCTGCTTTTCCTTGTCCCGCGAGTCGTTTGATCGGCCCCGGTGACGGTTCGATAGTCATAGAGTTGACCTCGTGAATTGGTGCCTTCCCGGCTGCGGGTACTCCCGAAGCGTCCCAGGCCGGAGTGATACTGGGAGCTACTGTTGCTCCGGCGGCCTCTGGCCGCAGAGGCTGGCTGGGTTCCATAGCGAGTCGAGCTGTCGTCGTAGCCAAAGTCCGCTTCTGATGAAAGGGACGAAGAGAATGTATGGCCGCGATACCGATGTGGTCCCGCGGACTCCTGCGAGTTCCGACCGTACAATTCGGATTCAAAGACGGAGTTGAAGAGGCGGTAGTCATCGAGAACCGAATTGCCTGTGGACAAAGCGAACTGATCTAGAGAAAGCAACATATTGTCGACAATGGAGGTGCGCGCGGCATGTTTTGGAGACAGGGAGAGGTCATGGGGATCCCGCTCTTCACTTGAATCGTTACTGCTGTTGTTCGCATGGTCGGCCGGATTCGTATCGTCTAGGAAGGTTTCGCGCAACGAGGGACGGGGATGGAGCCCTCGCTTGAAAGGCTTGCAGTTGGACGCTTGTGAAGGCGGTGTTCGAGGGGGCGAGCGATTCGTGTGGGCATCCTTTCTGATGCTACTCGACCGGACTAGACGATTCATGGCTGAGCACTTGGTCAGGATTCGTGTGTAGCGGGATGAGATCTAGATGAACCAGCGACCCGGCAACGCCTGGGCACACTGTGTAGAAAAAGGTGCCACCCGGTATGTCGTCCAGTACGAGGACACAACGAGGACGAGTTCTGACCGGGGGCTTCTCAATCACAATGGCCGGCTGTCTGCGAGTTGGCCATATACATATATTCCTCTTCAAATTCAAACCGATCTTCTTCGGGAAGAGACAAAGGTAGGTGTTTGTAAGTGTCACCTGTCGGTCATCGCGGAAGCGGGAGCAAAGATGGCCTTGATTCCGCGCGGTAGGGGGAAGCGGAAAAAGCGAAGGTCAATTGAACGAGAGGAAGTCCTTGGGACGACAGATTGCAAGCAGCCGGTGACGTTCTGAGGCACCTGGCAGTAATAGGGCAGTCAGAGAAGAAAAAGAACAAACCCCATAAAAGGCCATGAAAGTGCTATCTAGTCCAAATAAGATGATGATCGGGGAGGGGAACGATGGAGACTGGAGAGCGGACCGTGGAAGCCTCAGGCAAGGGACCAGGAACCGGAACCACAAAAAAAACGAGGGTCAAGGATGAAACGCCGACGATATTAAGTGTTTCCAGATGAGGAGGCGATGAGAATTGAGTTGTTCAATATTCGCTAGTAATTGTCAATGCGACCGTCAGACACGACATGAGCCTTTCAATGTCGCTTGTCAACCAAGTCGTAACTTTTCAGGGGCAGAACATGAGATAATCCACTGGCTCTCTACAAACTAGATTCGGATACGGCTAGAGCTGCTTTGTTGGCTGCAGAGGCTTGACACTAAGAATCACTAGCTTGAGGAACAACAAAAGTTAATAGGATGAACACTCTGGCAGTCTAGATATGGTCTGGCGTCGAGTGTCTGAGAATCTGCATGTCATGTTTTCTGTGTTATGATTCCTCTACTTGTTCAAATAAATACATGATGGATTTGTCTACAATGACTCGCGTGGTGAATACATAGGTAGCAATTGATCTAATTATTATTCTCCTATAACTACCTCTCTAATAGAAAGGTATATATACAAGGTCATTATCATATTCATACCTAGGCCAGACGATCGGCCCATCGTTGAGTTAACTATTCATCCATGTGGGCTGGTGGGGACCAAAGACACAAGACTAAGAGTACCCCAAGGATTAACTAGCTACTCCGTCGAGAGGTACTAATGGAGATAAATCACTAGAACGGAAGCTTTGACTGTCTCAGAGAAAGTATCGCTGTAAGCAAGGAACTGCTTTACTACTGCCCTTTAAAGTGATTAGTTTCAAGTAGAGTCGCTAATGTATCATCACAGTTATGCTGCTCAGACGGAGTAGTACCTAGAGAATTGTACGGTAATTTGCATTTTTAGGCTACATAGTCTCCACAGGACATAACATCTCATCTCGTCCATATCGACTGCCCGATCTCTGTGGACTGTTCCTAACTGTTGCTCTATGAGTCGTCTCTGTAAGGCAGGCATACATCCGCTTGTGACGTGTCAAAACCTTGAATCTTCCATGAATCATGAATTGCCTTTGCTAATCTGTACGTAGAATCAGTTTCTTCTTCGACCGACCGTCGAAACCCTATGTGTATCCTAGACGCATCGACAAAATCGATATCTTGATAGTTCACTGAGGTCTAGAGATCTGCGGGAATCAGTTGAGACCTATCACTCTTCCACATTATCCCTCTCGCAATCGCAATAATCTGCGGCTTTCATGAGGACGTCTAGCATAGGCCAATCACATTTCAAGTCGTGTGAAGAGCACTAAGTCGTTGATTCAAATCTTTCAGTTCCTCGGCGTTGCTATCAGGAACCATTTCTGCTCTCAAGCACGCATCTTAGTCCAGATCATGCTATATTCTAGGCTCACGGGCGATCTGGAAGTGTTATGTCAAGACCTTAGAGTCACCCGGAGCCCCGATGTCAAAAGTCATCGATCATAAGAAATCAATAAGCAACAGAAGCGTTTAATCAGCGTTTAAGAGTGTGTGGAATGTCAAAATCCAGGATGTCGACTTTTGTATGTAGTACTCCATAAATGCTTAGTAACAGCATCAACAGATGACATAACGGCCGGCAACAAGAGCAACGCCGACACTCATCTCCACCAAGACAACATCAGCAACCCAGTTAGCTGTACGGTGGGATTAGTACCGAGCTATCCACCCTTTTCCTCAGTGGACTACACACGTTGTTCCCCCTCTCAGAGCTTCTGAGAAATTGGGGAATCTTTTTGCAAACTCTCTACAAGATGAACCCGACCATCTCAGTCCCTCGTCAACATGCCAGCCCTGCCAGCTTTGGCGGCACAACCCCAACGAGTCGCGGATCCAGTATACGGATGCCGCGTTTCTTCAAGAGGTAGGCCTTTGGACTGGGCTATCATGAGGATGTCTGCGACCGGATAATGCTGGATAGTCGCTTGTCCCTCTCAGCGTGAGCATGGCTGACCGTGCCTTTTACCAAGCAGGCTATTCAAGTTCCCGCAGATGGACTTTGAAATGGCAATCTGGGAGATGACATCACTATTGATAGCTCCTAAGAAGGTGTTCAAATCAATCTACTATCATGTAAGTGTTGTTTCTCTATCCAATGTTGAGCTCAGCCTGGTAATTGTTTGCTAAATGTCATGGTCGATTGGTAGAAACGTACGTTGAACGCGCTTCCCCTTGTTCGAAACTTCCGGACCAGACCGTCGGCGAGATCACAGGATCAATACAGCTAATCGTCTTTTAACTTATCGGTACAGAAACCAAAAACACCTGGCACCGTCCGGACCCCTCCTTTACATATTTGCTCTCCTTCTTCCTCCTGCTCACTGCGCTCGCATGGGGCCTGGCTTATGCGCCGGCCTTTGGCTCGATCGTCCGCCTGTCGCTGCTCTTTATCTTTGTCCACTTCATCGGCTCCTCGCTGGTGGTATCGACAATAGCCTACTTTGCGATCCCTCGACTGTTTGGACCTGACGGAGCGGCGGCATCCCTGTCCGGATTCAGAGGGTCTCGCGGGCGGAGGCGCGGCGCGGCACAAGGCTTGTTCGTCCAGCCTGGGGAGAAGGATCAACTGGAGTTTGGATACTGCTTTGACGTGAGTTTCACTCCCGATGGCCTGGACTGGTCTATCGAAAGATGGCAACGCTTTCCCGGTAGGGCTGGGGCTGACTTTGGGGTGTCCAGGTGTCGAATCGGGCCTTCTTCCCTCTATATCTCCACCTTTATGTCGTCCAATTCCTTCTTCTGCCCTTACTCACTCGCAGTCCGAGCAACTTCCTCGCTACTTTCCTGGGAAATACGCTCTATCTCTCCGCGCTGATCTACTACACCTACATTACCTTTCTGGGGTACAATGCCCTCCCGTTCCTACACAACACCGAGCTCCTCCTCCTCCCGATCCTGGTCTTGTCCATCCTGTGGCTCGTGAGTCTTATTGCAGGCTGGGGGGTCGTCATGCACGGACGCAGCGTGGAAGGGTTGTTTTGGGGAGTCTGATGCCCTTGAAGTGCCTGAATTGACACCATCGTGCTAAGATAGCTGGCGTTCATGCGTTGACTGATACATGCACTGTTCATATATATCCCACTTTTTCCTCCCTCTGCTCCATCGAGCTCGGAAAATAGGGCGTTGGTGTACATGGGTGTCCTTTGGTTCGTTCTGATTTTCGTTTGTCTTTCGTGATTTGGGTGCATAATCTGCATAACATGGCATGTCGTGATGGTTTTCGGTGGCTTGTGCCTCTTCCGTTGTAAATAGATCATTTACCTGCTTATGGCGAGTTCGTTTGGTGTAATCACCCACTCAGTTCTATATCGATTCCGTGTTACAATAATTTGAAGTGTCAAATGCAGAGGGAAACATGCAGTCATCCCTGTGACGATCATATCTGTTCAAAACGTCTAAAGCGAGTATATACTCAAAATCAACCAGAGAGATATATTGCCGATACTGTCCAAACCAGACAAACAGGTTCATCGCGTCATTTCAGCGTGGGTCGCAGGTGGGAAACACTTCATTAATTCTTCTTCGGGCCTCCCTTCTTCTTACCCTTGGTCTCCTCGCGGCGCTTCATCTCCCGCTCGCGCGCCGCCGCCTTCTCCCGCGCCAGCGCTGCTCTCTCTTCCTTCTCAGCCTCCTTGCGCAGCCGTTCGGCCTCGCGCTGCTCCCGGATGAGGGCCAGACGGGCCAGGTCCGCCCGCGCCTCCTCCGTCTTGCCCTCGGCGTGTAGTTTCATGTACCGCTCCCGGGCCTGCTGCGCCTCAATGGCCTCGCGTTCCCGCCGGGAGAGCTGTGACAGATCGCCGGCAGGGGCCTTCTCCGGCTCTGCCGCGGGATCCTTGTGGAGTTGTGAACGGGACTTGGCGGTGTGGTTCGGGTTGGCGGGGAGGTCCTCGTCGTCGCCGTCGTCGCCGTCGTCGCTCTCATCTTCCTCCGAGTCCGAGGGAGGCAGGTCGCCCGGTTGCGCGGCGACGTTGTTCCGTCGCGCGATCGCGGCTAGCTTCTTCGCCTTGGCTGCGGCGCGTCGTTCCTCGCGAGTCATTGCTGCTGGTCCTGCTGATGATTCGGCGGCGGCACTGGGCCCGGCTTGTGCGTTGTCCTCGTCAGACGACTCCTCCTCGGAATCGGAGGCTTCTTCTGATTCATCCTCTTCGACTGATGAGGGAATGTCGTCGCCTGGCTCCTGCACGGCAAAGCAGCGAAGAGTAGAAAGGTCAGCGTCTCATTCCTGCAGACACGATGGGTTCGGTCCCCTGTGAGGAAATTTAGAGGCACGTACCCGCCATAGACCAACGGGGTTTCCGTCCTTGTCTACCGGTTGAACATCGCGACTGAAATGCTTGCCCCCTGCGTGTCACGAAGAGAGATGCATCAGTATTCTCGAATCATATTCTCTTGTTTGTTCTCCCGGTTCGAAAGTAACCCTTAAGATGCGTCACCTACCTCCTCTGCTGGGTTTGGAGAACTTTCCGCGACCGCGGGGTGCCATGTTAAGTAGAGATGCAGGAAGCAGCGTAAATTGAGTAAAATTTCAGGAGTACAAATGGCTGTAAGGAGCTGAATAAATCAACACTGCCGATTAGCAAAGTTCACGCTGTCTTGAGCTGCTGTAGACGGGATTCGGTTGTATGGAGGGGCAGAGCGGGAGAGGGACAGAAATTGGAGACGAGAAGCTCACATCTTCTTGAGAAGGAAATACGGCACCACTCCCTGAATGATCGGAGGAAGAGGCTAGAGTGGCAGCAGAGAATTCTCTTAGAGATAGACTCCACAGACCAAAGAGAATGGCGACGTGCAGGTTGAATGTTTTGAGTCACGCACAGGATTTCCCAGGCGGGGAAAAGAAGCAGAGACAGGTCCACCGCCAACGAAGGGAGGATGTCTCATCACAACATTGGATAACTCCATATCATTTAGCTACAATAACCACCAAGATGGTCACTCAAATACTATTATTTCATGTGATCACGCCCCAGCGTGATATGGGCCTGCTTCATCATTATTTTCTTCCTCCCAAGATCCAGTCAACAGCAAGCCCCTTGACTGAGTTCTACATCCGATGCCATGTGAATCCCAGTTTCGCTACTCTTGCAGCGATCAACGTCAGTGTACCAGCTAGAATCGCACTGCCCATGAACATCTGAGCGTAGAGGTAATGTCCCCCGGCCGTCTGGATCAGGGCTCCCGCGATCGGAGACCCGATCAGCGCTGCGACTGCGACCACGCTGAGCACCATGCCCATTCTCACTCCGGCTTTCTTCAAGTCGGTGGTCAGGGAGGTCAGAGTGGCCGGGAATAGCGACTGGATGCCCGCGGCCGCCAGACCATAGAAGGCGCTCCAAGCGTATAACCCATGAATCTCGTCCACCCCGGCCCAGCAGAAGGCTATCAGACCGGTGACCAGGCTGAAAGGGATCAGCATGTTCAACGGACCAGTATACCAGTCGGCCATGGTGTTCGGGATCACCCGACCCAGGATGCCGATGCCGTTCATGACCAGCAGGATATACACCGAGGTGGTCTCGGAGACCCCGATGATATTGCGGCCAAAGCTGCCGATGTAGAAGAAGCCAACATAGAGCCCCCAGAAGTTGAGGAACATCCCGATGGCGAAAAACAGGTACGGCAGCTCCTTGAAGGCGCCCCATTCCACCAGCGGGCCGCTCTTACGGGGCGGCAATCGTTGTTTTAGGAAGACCACCGGAGGGATGAGCGTGGCCAGAGTGATGAAGCCCAGAACGCGCATCGTCCAGCCGTATCCGACCTGTGGCAGCAGGCGCACGACGACCGCTGGAAAAACCAACCCTCCCGTCGCCGATCCGCAGGCCACGATCCCGATGGCAAGGGCCCGTTTCGTGGTAAAATAGGTGGCCATCAGGGCTACGGTCGGGCAGAACATGAGACCGCAACCGATTCCCTGGCCGACTCCCTGGGCGAGGAACAGCTGCCAGTACTCGGTGCACAAAGAGGTCATGAAGATGCAAAAGACTTCCAGCAGCGCTCCTGTGGCCAGGGTGACTTTGAAGAAGCCGGCATCCGTCGCACGGCCAGACAGTGTTCCAATGAAGAAGAGCAAGAAAATTTGGATGCTGCCAACCCAGGAGATGTCGGAGGGTGGCCGGCCCAAGTGCTCCGTATAGTATGTCTGGAAAACACCGAACCCATTGATGTACCCCCAAGTGTTGAAGATGACAAAATGAGCCAGGAGGACCTGGGTCCAAGCAAAGAGGCCTCCATCGGGAGGAGGGCCGATATCCTTGCCGGATTCTCTGGTCCGCACAAGCGACAAGGTCCGGGCAGCCAATGTTCCGATATGACTGGTATTGGTGACGGTTCTCGAGAGCTCCTTTGATCGAGGATCGACACCGTTGTTCACACCGGACTCCTCATCGTAGGGCAAGCCTGCCAAAGGAACAAAGCGGTCACTTGTGGTGTCCTCGAATTGCGGATTCGCAGGGTCTTTTTCATTGACCGAAACAGCGTCGGGAGGCTGGTCTTGTGCCATTACCTATGTATGTATTATCAGTAGACATTCGAATGAGAGAAAGAGACAGAGACATGCTCAGATCCAACTATACCTACCATATCTCAATGACTCAAAACACCTTCACTCACGGCGGAAGCCGAATGCGACTGGAGAAAGCGACTGCAGTAAAGAAGGCAGCTGGAAGACTGGTTTCCTTTCTTGTTTGTTCTCTGATTGATAAGCACAGTGACGGTCCGACGAAGTTCTCGAGCCAGGATTTAGTTGGCAACCATCCATGACCGGATTTTTCTTTTCGGACCTTCCAGTGGTTCGCACAGAAGACCGAAAAGTCGAGTCATCGTAAAGTGTCGGCAACCGCATCCGAGAGATGAGGGGCTGTCCACGACGATCTTTCGTGAATCGTGGAGGGGCGAGTCTGAGATAATGAGACTCATCTTGGATTTGGTCGAGTGAAGATGGATTGCAGCTTGTTCTTTTATTCCTTGTCAACTGGGTACGATACTGTCGATGTTCGCCGTGACTTTGATGGTTCGGAGATGTCCGCGCATTTTTATGTTCCCGAGGACACTGTTGAAATACAAAAGAATAGATGGTATGGACTCGCTATTCCGTTACGCGCTTTGTATATCTTCTCAAGATATAGGTGAAACTGTTTCCGTCTTCCCATCATCGACCATCCTGTAGAACAGCTTCTATTTACCATCTCCTGCGTAACCGTGCATCCCCATCCGACTCGGGCTTATCCGATACCACGGTCCAATTGGCACTCATTGACTTCTTGTCAACGGAGACCGAAGGTCCTGGGGTCTAGTATCCAAGGGAAGAAAGTTCGATTTCATATCTCTATCTCTAACAGCCTATATTCAAAGGCGTACCTGTCTCTCCGCCCTCTATCTATAGTAAAGCGGATGGAAACCAACGCGGAAAGTCACAACCAGTCGGAGGAAGAACAAGGCGGAACAATAATGGAAAGGAATCTGGAGAGAAGAAGAAGAGGAAGAAGATGCGGCCTCACAGCGTGGAAGATACAGACAGATGCCAGGAACCTTTCCACACGTACTCCCTCAAACAGCTTCCTCCTGTTGCATGCTCGAACGGCCGATAAATCTTCGACCCTCGGCTTGTTCTACATTCTCCCCGGGGATCAAGAAGACGAGATTATATATCGCTAGTGCAAAGTAATCATATTTCGTTAGAACGTGATGATTTTGCAGCCAAACGGCCAAGCATGGCACGACCAGCCCTGCCTCACATCGTCCCTAGTATTCTTGCGCAGAAGAACTATTGTTCAGCATCGAAATCGTTCCAATCACGTCAGCTGGCTCAAGGAGGTGCCAGCTGGCTTCCGTCTGCTTCGAACTGGCCCCAACGGTGACTGAGAACACATGCCCAGTGGGGAGGCCGGACTTCTTGAGCGCACGGAACATGTCTACAACAAAAAGTTAACCCGAGCCACGAACCGAGCATTCAACCGGAATCGGTAGTACTTACCCTCATCGGTGAAATCGTCTCCCAAGCACAGGACGAATTCCGGAGCTTGCCCGGGTTCTGTTCCGTATTCCTGGACCAATCGCGCCGCAATGAAGCCCTTGTTGACAAATGTCGGCCGCACCTCCAGATTGGCCTTACCGGCCATCACCTCGACTTCCCACCGCTTGGCTACCGTCTCCTCCAGCATCTTGCGGCACTCCCGGGCCTGGAATGCACCGTACTCGGGATCCGCTCGGCGGTAGTGCCAGGTCAGTGCAACCCGCTTGCGCTCGATGAACGAGCCTTGCGTACGCTCGGTGAAGTGCTGGAACACCTCCATCACTTCCTTCTGCCACCCCATATCACTCGACTCGGCAAGGTTTTCCCAGTCATCCGATCGCGGCTGCCGGATGAAGCAACCATGCTCGGCGCTCAGGCCCAATTCCGGGATGTGGCCCATCCATTCATCCAGGAATGCCTGGTCACGACCACTGATGATCCAAACCGCATTGCGAGGGTCCGCAGCCAGAGTCTTCAGAGTCCGCAGCACCCGATCCGATGGGATGGCGGCCTGCGGGTCTTTGACAATTGGGGTGAGCGTACCATCGTAATCGAACATGAACAGCCGCTTGCGCGCTTTGCGGTACTGCTTCAACAGCTTCGCCCGGTCCAGCGCCGGCGTTGCCACCGATTGGTCAAAAGAGGAAAGATTGGTAAGCAAGCGGGTGACAAACTGGTTGGACCAGGTCGAGATGGTATTCGTGGTGACGTGCTTGTAGAGTTTGACGTGCTGCGCCTTCTTCTCCTCCGGGGACATGGTCAGGGCTCGGTTGATGGCTTCAGCGACGCCGGTCGTATCCCATGGGTTGATGTGAATGGCGCTGGACAGCGTGCCCGCCGTACCAGAGAACTCGGAGAGAATGAGAGGACCATGAGTGTTGTGCTGGCAGAGGATGTATTCCAGACTCGTCGTGTTCATGCCGTCCCGGACGGTGGTGATCAGACCCACATCGGCGACACGCAGGAGCGCGAAGTACTCGTGCTGGGAGAGATATTGGGGGTAGTACTTGACGGGCGAGAAGCTGATCGAGCCGAAGCGGCCGTTGATGGTAGACACCAGGTTTGAGATCTGGCTGGCGATCTTGTTCTCGGGGTCCTCCTTCTCCTCCTCCACGCTGGTTGGGCTGGTCACTTGGATGAGGACGACCTTCTCACGCCACTCCGGATACCTCTCTAGGAACTGCTCAAATGCCTGCAGCTTCTGGGCCACACCGCGAACACTGTCCAGTCGATCACGGCCGACAATGATCTTCTTGCCGGCGTACAGTTTACGAAGTCCCACCACAGCCTCTTCGATCTCGGGGTAACCATAGGCCGCCTTCTGAATGGTCTTGACATCAATTCCGATGGGGAAGACGTCCACCGCAACATGGGCGCCGTAAGCATCAACGCCGGCGTTATTCGAGTCGAAGCCCAGGACGCGCGTACAACAGGACGAGAAGTGACGCGAGTAGGAGAATGTCTGGAAGCCGATCATGTTGGCACCCAGGACACCAGTCAGGACTTCTTTGCGCTTGGCAAGGCAACGCATGAATTCGCTGCTGGGAAACGGGGCGTGCAGGAAGAATCCGATGTAGATGTTCGGTATCCGTTGCCGCAGCAGACTGGGCAGCAGGAAGAGATGATAATCGTGGATCCAGACGATGTCACCTTCCTGATACTCCTGTATAATACGGTCCGCGAAGAGTCTGTTCATGCGGACGTAATCTCCCCACCACTTCCGTTCTGACCGGCCATCCGTGGGGCCGTGTTGCTTGTAATGGAGCAGGGGGTACAACTCCTTCTCCGCATAGCGCCTCCATCTCCCTTGATCTTCCAGGAAGATCGAAGACTCCTCCGGCTCTTCGGACTCGTCCGACAGCCATACGGGAGCGATCTTGCCGTAACGGCCCGAGGTCAGCTGAGCGTCAAGTCGCGCTCGGTCCTCTTGACTGACTCTGAAGCCTTCGAGAAGCGGGTGGCTGGGCGGTCGCTGCTTCGAGTCCACGGGTACGGGGGCCGCTGCTTTGTTCAGGGGAACGGCAACACCATTGAGCGCGGGCGGTAGCCTTGCGCCCGAGTTGACGGGGATGTGCTGGAGAGGAACGGAGACGTCTTGAATTGGTTCCACCTCGCCGGTCCAGCCAACGAGCGTATGGGACCATTTCGTCTCCCCTGAGCTGAGATAAGCAAAGGAATCGAAAAGGGCAGAAGTTCCGGGACGTGGTTTGAGATCCTGTTCAAATGGTTCATCGGAGCGTTAGTCCAATGCCGCCAAGTTGGGGAAAAAGAGAAGTGAAGAAGAAATCATAGGGGCACCATACCCAATCGGAGCCAGGACGGTAGCCGACCTTGTACGGGATGCAGAAGGCGGCGCTGATAATCCGGCCGGTGAGGTTCAAACCGGGATATTGCTCGCGCGGGTCGAAGTCGGGAATCATAGGGGAGCGGCTGAGACTCAGACGGCGGAGGAGCTCAATAGGCGACTTTGCATTCTTCGCTGCATCAGCCGGCGAGCCAGGAGAAGCGGTATCGGAGGCGGTCGACGACTGTTTGGTGCCAGGAACCTGAGAGAAGTACGAGGGGGCATCATTGACCAGGGGATGTTTCTTGTCGGTCTCCAGACTAGGAGTGGCATTTGAGGCATTGGTATAGGCCTCTTCACCCAAAGACTTCATGCCGGGACCGACCATGACGGGGTTTGGCTGGCCCTCAGGCACTTTGGCGGGGGAGTCCTGGTTGGCGGCCATGACGAAAACGGCCGAAGATGGGCGGAGGGACAGATCCCAATTGCTCAAGGCTCGCAGGAAATTAATGTAGTACAGAACTATTTCCGAGGAGAGTCAGATAGAGCGAATTATAATTGGAAAAGCAAGACGACAACTGAGAAGGCAAAATGGGGAGTACGAACCTCGGGGGAGGATATAGAGAAATGGGGAAGTAGAAGGAAGTAAGAGGGTTGACAGGATAATAGATAACGATACCTCCGTAGTAGAAAGGTGGGGTGGTGGGCGGAAAGTGAAGCCGGTGAGGAAACGAAGACGGATGGTATGATTATGATTGTTCAATATGAGATGAAAAAGAAAGTCATGAGCAATAGAAAGAGTAGTTAGAGAGGTAAGAGTAGTTGAATGATTGGAAGCGGGAGAATCAATGAAGAAAATGAGGGAAAACGAGGAACGGTGGTGGAGGAGTAGACGATAACGACGATTTGGTTGGCAAAACCCGGTTTTTGATCGAGTGGAGGGAAAAGATGAGCAACAGGAAAGCGGATATCCAGAAAGAAATGTATTATCCTATTTTATTTATACTATGAGTAAAAATGGAGGACATGGACTAGAATAAGGGTTTGGCTGCTCCATACCAAGTATCTAGACCTCCGACTATTTTTATGGCTACAAACTACTACCAAACCACCACGACTATGGTTTGGGTATGAACGAGGGGCATCAGGATGGGCGGCGAACTTAATCAATCAAGACTGGCTAGTCCTGAGGGAGTAATTATTGATAATCAGCAGAAAGAATTATTATTAGTATCATTGCTCACTATCATGGTCTTGAGAAAGGGGTATACAAGGACTCCGTAGAAGCATCCCAAAGGAGAAAATGGGAGAAGCTGACAGAAAAGGGGAGAGCTGGAGAGAATCAATCAATGGAGCTAGTCCAGGCCGATAAGAGTATAGAATAATAAGAGTGAGTAGCTAATAGACTAGTAGTAAGAATAAGAGAGAAGAAGACCCTGAATAACAGCTAATAATAATCATAACAGAACATGTTCCTTGACTTCAGTACCTGCAAGACTGCAAGTAGATATGATGTGACAGATGAATATGACGACGAGGACCAGAGAACAGGCACATGGCTGGAATTTCTCCCCGCTAGAGTCCCATCTGGTACGTCATGTTCCAGCCATGTCTAGTAGGCTACAAGTACCTATAGGCTATAGCTAAGATAGGTATGCATTGATTTCATAGTGATTCACTGCAGGTCAATGATCGTCCCGAGCAATTATCTTCCGAACTCTGGAGTCTGGACTTGTAGATTTTAGCTGCCTGTCATGTTGATCATGATCTTCATTCGTCTCTTCATTTGATTCGATCATTCCACGTGGAGTACTACAAGACAAAGTAGAGACTACCTAGAGAGGTACCTTTAGCTGGTAGACACCTAGAGAAATCCTTCCGAGGGGTCAATAATAGGTACAGTGAAGAGAAGGGCTAGGGCTGCTCCTCACATGACCGCAAATCACATGATCTTATCTGTTCAAGTCAGGTGATCTTATCATCCTCCGACAGATCTGAAGAATTGGACCAGGGGCACGCAGGATACCATTTCATCCTATCTGGTCTTCTCGAACCAACACAGGGCGTCTGCATCTTATACTCTACCATCCAAAATTACAGATACTGCCTCTGAGTACATGCTCAAAGTCACGGTGGCTGCCCCGCGATGTCTTGTATATCCCACTGATCGCGCAGCAATGCGCTTGGCCTCTGCTCTTCGTATCTCCTCTTCAAATCTGTTCTCAACAGCACCTTTCCGTCGGCAGTTGCATGATCCTGTCATCTTTAGACATAGCCTTGAGAAGACTCTTGAGGCTCATCGGTCCTCCAATCGAGCCAGTCTGATCCGCAAGGTGATTAACGACAAATGTCCTGCTGGAATATCCCCTCCGATTCTACCACTTGAGCACCATGCTGGTCATGATGAGCCACTTCCAAACGTCTCGTCCGTGTCAAGTGCAGAGCCACAGTCCCTCCAGTCTCTTGCGCCTGCGAGACGAGCGCAGAGGAAGGCCCGTTCGTCGAGCCAAGTAGCCGCTCCGCACCCCAAGACAGCAAATTATACACTGCTGCAGTGGCATGCAGATGAAGCCAGGGGTCGACCAGAGCAAAGTCCTTGGCTGAAGTACTTGACTACCGATTGCAAGACATCCGATGCCATTTCGCGTCTCGACGCGGAGATCCGCGCTCTTGAGATCTACATGACACCGACCCCGTCGGAGCAGGATGAGATAGATCGGCTGGTTGCAGACGTGGGTAGGTTGGTCGCGGGAATTGTCCCCAGCCCGCCCCAGGTGACCGGTTCATGGCGGACGCGATTCGCTCTGAGCCACTCCGATCTTGATTTCGTCTTACCTGTCCCGGATTCGGATCGATCCACCCGTGGCGTGCGCAAGCCCAGTGCTACCCGGCCCAAGGTGCTCCAGACTTACAAAAAGCTCTTACGTGACGTTGGACATGCGCTTCAGCAGTGCCCTTCGTTCGCGGGGAGAGTCCGGGTTCTGGGCAACCATTTCCCGGTCCTTTCAGCCATCCATCGCCCCACGGGCCGTCTGCTGCAGTTCCACTGCGGCCAAGGACTACCGGCCTCTGTCGAATATATCATGGACTACCAGGCCGAGTATCCCTCGACTCGGCCCCTCTACGTGACGGCTCGCCTGATCCTCGAGGCGCGGGGCAGGTATGGCCGCCCCCGGTTGTCTATTGGATCCGACGCCCTCGTAATGCTTCTCGTGGCCTTCCTCAAAATGAATCACGGGCGTTTCCAGCGGCCTGACTGTCTCGGCGAGCAGCTCATCGCGTTTCTGCGGGCCTACGGCACCGATGTCGACCTGACCACCACCGGAGTCTCCGTCGATCCCCCCAGTTGGTTCAATGCCGGTACGGTCAAACGCGCCAGCGCCCTGTACGCACCCGACGATCTACCCGCGCATTTGCGCGGCCAGCGCTCCCTCATCAGCCTCAAGAGAACGGCGGCCGCCAGACGCAATCTGTCTGCCGCCAGCCGGTTGTGCGTGCAGGACCCCACCAACTACATGAACGATCTGGGCCGCAGCTGCGTGCGTACGTCGGAACTCCAGGACGCATTCTCCCTTGCTCATGACCGTCTCGGCGCAAGTCTCAGGCACTGGGAAGGTAGTGAACAGGCCGCGGACGCTAGTATCCTGACTGGGGCCCTGCAAGCAAATTTTCATGATTTTGAAAACCTACGCGCCAAATCGCTTAAGCTCAATGCGAGCTAGCATTGAATTGTGTCAGGCCCTTGCAACCTTGGGGATTCCTCTCATCTCCTGCCTAAATATTGATACATTATATATGGGATAATTCCGAGTCCGCCAACATGCTTGTCACCTGGGCTCATCCCTGGCACTGGCCACTCCGTAGATGCACTTGACTCAATAGAGGATCGCAGTAATGAAATGTCAGAAAACGCAACGAGTAAAACAGGTGAAATTGCTTGAAAGAGAACGCCCGCTTTCTAGTCAAGCAGCTCTGAAGAGCCATGCAATGTATCCAAACCGCTCTGTTCGAACGGGAATGTGAAAATAACTATGACAAAGAAGCGGCAAGCCAGGCCACGGCAAAAGTAGTCTATGACATAAATTCAACGATCAAGATCACGCCGGTGTATGACAACTCCAGGTCAAGCAATGCCAGCAATCAACTTGGTGTGGCACCGTAGGAAAAGCACTGCCAAAGCATACGACGATATACGATTGATCAATTGCTGTACCTCTGTCAGCAGCTATTTCGGTTTCTGACGGGATGCTGATGAGTGACTTACTATATTTCCAAGGGGGAAATCTGGTCAAGCGTGTAGAGCCAGTTTCCGCCCTGCTCTTCTTTCTCAAGCCTACGACAGTCCATTAGTATATGGCTAAAAAACGACGAGGATTGGCCAGAATATCACGAACCAGTCATAAGGCCACATTATGAGATGTCCCTGGACCCTATTCAATAACTCTTCTGCTTGTTGTTTGTCTATAACATCATCCGTCGCGTGGAATTCACGCTTCGAAAGCGTTGTTGCTCGTCTCCGACGGCGGCGGGTCTGGGTTGTGGCATTGCGATTCAGAGCCTCAGAATAATCAACAGCTTGCGGCTCCTGCTGCTCGACAGCTTCCTTGGTAGGGCCGCTCTCTTCGCTGCGTCCACTCTGTGTAGGACCCGCCCCTGTAGCTTCGGACACCTCCAGGGCAGTCTTCTCGTCAATTGACGATAACGTTTCTTGCTTCGCAAGGTCGGACTGCATTCGATCAGCTGCATCGCGCCCACCTTCGGCTACACGAGCCTCTCTCTTCTCATCCGAGCCAGCCCCGTTTGTATTTGTCCCGGGAGGTCCCGTTGACTTTTGGTGGCTTGGCTGAGAAACCTTGACGCTGTGCTGACTCTGCATTTCTGAAAATCGCTCTCCGTATGTGGCGTACTCCTTGTATTCTTTCCACGACTTGACCTCGCTGTCAGGCATACAACGAAAGACGGCCCGGTAGATTTTTGTGTTCTTCTCCGCCACGGCTTGCCAAGTGTCCAGGTAGAAGATGTCGATCACAGGGTCTCTCATGCAGTCCTTGTCAATGAAGATGTGCTTGAGATCTGGGATCAGTGGGTGTGGATACTTCGCCGCATCGGCTATGTCTGATGACGGCGACAGGACGCCATTGTCGTTCTCAATATTGGTCCCTGGCTGAGTCGGATGACGGGCAGCTGCTAATCCATCAATCACTGGAGTTGGATCGGCATCATGAGCCGTAGTCGAGGGTGATTCGCGGCTTGTTTCTCTAGCAATGGGCCTGCCCGGTTGCGTCTTCCGCTTCGACGCCGGCTTAAGTTGTCGGATGGTGCCTTTGCCCTCGCTAGCGATAGGCGAGACCAGAACCTCAGCGTTGTCTTCGAGCATTTGCGAATCGCGACCGTCGGCCAGCCCGGCTTCTAGAGCGACGTTTAGATGATCTACCCCAAGCCCATCAACGTCCTTCTTATGTTCCGCATTAGAGGTCACCCTTGGATCAGCAGTGAGCTTTCTGTTCGACTTGAGGTTGGGATTGTTTTCTTGTTCCCAGTCTACATCGTGGTTGAAACTGTGCAAGTCTTCCGATCTGGAGAGAAACTCGTCTTGTATCCGATGCCGACGCTCGATCATATCCCTCTCATCCTGTCTCTCCATCATCAGGGACTCGGAGTCGGCCTTGTCAGCGTTCTCCGGTGTTCTGGTGCCTTCTTCCGCAATCTGGATTTTTCGCAGTTCTTCTTCAGTTGCTATCGAGTGCTCCATTAGCTCGTCAACGTCGATGCCAAGATGCTCTCTCATCAACCGCATGCGCAGGGTATGCGGGAACCGTCCGACAAGATACGGGCGGCCATCCATGGAGGACCATATCATATCTGTATCACGCACGACAGCTGCTACCTCGGAGTCTCGCGAGCCCAACATCGACCTCTCATTGATATTCGCAGACCCAATGATGGCGGCCCGATCATCAACAACCATGCACTTGGCATGGATGTAGAGCTGCTCAGTGACAAGTTGTTTTTGCGGTCCGATCTTGCCCCATGTCCGAAGACTGAAAAATTGAATGTAATCTTCCGGATCGATGCCCAGCGCACGCAGTCTGCCAAAAATCGAAGTCTCCCCCCGGCAAATGCTGCGATACTGACACTGCATGATGAGACGAACGCTGGTTCCGCCCTCACTGTCTACAGTATTCTGAAAGCCTGGCATCAGTGGGATAACGATGACGGCGCGCCACGCCTCCTGATTCTTGGAGGCTCGAATGATGCGCTCCACCAACGCATCGCCAATTAAATTCTCAATCTTTCTGCCGTCTATCTCGCAGGTGCTGATGAAGAATTGATTCTCGATGTAGACAAAATGGTCCGATTCCTCTATCAGTTTGACGTACGCATTCATAATGCTGTGCTCGGTGACATCCGGCGTACCCGTTGACCACATACTGCTTGAGCGCAAGATCTGCACCTCGCAAGTCCCATCAAGGCCGAGAGCTTCCAAGTCGGCAGGGTCAAAGTCAGGTGGAGGCAGAAGAAAAGGTGTAGGTCTGGTAGGTTTCCGCTGCCGCAAGATGTAGTTCCAGCGCTGCACAAAATGCCGCGTGAGATCCCGGGCGGGCTGACCGACGACGTGCATCGAAATGTCATGCCACGGCATCCTGGGTATCACATTACGGTCATACATCTCCTCGTACGGCTTGTCCAGATCGTAAAAGTCCTGAACCCGCGGGTTCGAGTAATCCTTACCCGGCCAGAGTTGGCAGTGGTCTGCGTCCTTGGGTCCATCGGGCGTCTCGAAGCCAGTAGGCTTGTCGTCAGTGAGCACATGTTGCGGAGTGTCCCATCTTCCGAAACAAAGGTCGATTCCGCCAACAAAAGCCACGGTGTGGTCGATCAGGCATAGTTTCTCATGGTGCGCCCAGAAAAATGTGTTCTGTCTAAACTGATTCGGAGAGCGCTGTACAAAGACGTTGGGATGAAGGTCGAGAAGTGAGAATTTGGAGTATTCCGAGTCAATAGGGATAGCGGAGTTGATATTCCGATACATGATCACAAATATCTTGACCCCTTCGCGAGCTTTGCGTTGAAGAAGTCGATCCAGCCGCCATTTCTGACTGATGGCTGCTGGCCGTCGCAGGTACAGTTCAGGACTGAGCCACCAGTCATGGATATAGATGACGTCTTTGGCCTGATTGATCGCTCGCGACACCATCCACATGTGGTCGCGCGCATCGACTAGCCACTGTGCAAAACAGTTCTGGCGCACCGGGGCAAAGCTCTGAAACCTGTTCGGCTTCGCCCACGGGGTACTATTGACCATGAACCTTATAGAGTCCTCGAATTGATGGAGCTGACGCTCATTCCTGGCCAGCAGTCTGAGCTTACGTTCCGAGTTTTCCAGCCTCAGCGTGTGGTGCTGTGGGTGTCTGGCCGACTCTTTAGCTGACTTGGCAAGCTCTTTCGCTTTCTGATGTCGTAAACTGATCTTCTGAGTTTGTAATTTGAAAAACGGGTCGACCAAGAACACATCGTAGATATTCATCTCCTCTGGCGAGTCAACGCAAACAAGGTAGCTGTGTCGGACAAGAAACCATTTTGGTGAATGCCGCTTCTTCACCATCGCTGGAGTTAGCGCCCTTCGAAAATCGAGGCCTTTGGAAGACTGAATAATCAGGTATCCCTCTTTACCATGATAGCTGCCTTCGGACGCAAGGCGGACACCCAAGGCAGACAGTTCCAGGAATTTACACAAACGGTTGCTATCAGCCTTGAAAATTAAAAATCGAATCATCTTCTGTAGATAGGCTTCAAGTTTCTTCCGCTGTCTCTCGGGATATGGTTCCCTCTTCGTCGACTGGCCAGGTTCCGCCGTCCCAGCATTGGCCTCGCCCTCGGTATTGGTAATGCTCGACTGTCTCCGGGATATACCTCCTGACAGTCGGCGCTGCCCTTGTTGCTGCTTTCTCCTACCGGTCCTCTCATTGCCGCTGGTCGCTTCGGCGGCGGTCTCATAGCCGCCTTCGTCTTCCTCGTCTTCAATCTCACTTTCCAGGCCCCGGACTCCTCGAAGATATGGAAAGGCGCTTCGAGGGAAACGGGGAAGGTTCTGTCCGCCCTCGGTGTTTCGCAGCTGAATGTACTTCTGCGTTCCGAAGTGAAGCTTATATTTCAGATGCAGATTCGCAAAATCTCGAAGAGTACGGTGGATGATCCATTTCATCCGCGTCATCCCGCTGCCGTATTCCAGCTCGATTCTGAATACAAGGTGACGGTCACCGGAATGAGGTTCGAACTTGCTATCAGTGACCCGAACTTTCAACTGCTCCAGAAGGATTGGGATCCGTTTGCTGCCGTGTTCATCCCGTTGAAACATGCTAGCCAAGATCAAGGCGGCCGGCACCCCTGAAGCCAACTCGGCTAGTAGCTCGGCGGACTTTGCATGGTCTACTGTGCTCTCAGGCTTGCGACGCATAAACTTGAACCCAGCCTTTATCTGCCGCCACTTCTGAGCGCTCAGACTCGAGCCGCGTTCAGCTCTATGGCGCCGCCAATGTGGGGCATTTCCTTCTGTTTGTTCAGATGGTCCAACCAGCCCAGTAAAACGCTTGAAATTGCTCGGTCGTCTCTCCCCCTGATTACCATGGCTATCCGCCTGTCGACCGCCATAGGTAAGTGCACGAGCGTTAGCTATTCTCCGTCTCCAAGCATCTCTATTCAGGCGATCTCGACCCTCGTC